GGGCCAGCCGGCGCCAGGAGAGGACGTCGGCATGCCAGTGGCCGCAGGCGAGAAGGTAGTGAAGAGTGACGGTCCAGGGGGCGCGAAACGTCGGAATGAGCCAACAGAGGACATGGCCCTGGAGCCACGAGTCACGGTTCCCGTGGAGTCGAGAGACGACCGAAATTTTCGGTAAGGGCTCTCGTGAAGCGGGCCGAGATTGAGTTCCAGCAGGATACAGGCGCAGAGGTAAGCCTGCTGAGGAGAGAGGATTGCAGTCGCGCTGGCGTAAGAATGTCGCAGTGCCGACAGCAAGTAAGCACAGTGCTGGGTTCAGGATCACTACCCGTGGCGGACCCGGTACCGGTAACCGTGCACGGCGAGACGGACGAAGTAGAGTTCGCGGTGCATGACCAACCGTCGGCCCCGAACCTCCTGGGGAGGGTAGAATTGGAGCGGTTTGATTGAGAGAAGGTCCGGGAAGGCGTTGGTCCTGGCGGCGCAGAGAGGCGCAGTTGATGAGATACAGCTTGCGGAGAAGTACAAAGAGCAGCCACCAGTGGTAGAGGAGCAGTCGGAGGATCCATTCGAGAGGCAGCGGCAGGCATTCGTGGAGGGCACGGGACACCTGGACCAGAGCCTGAGGGACGAGCTGTGGAATCTGTTAGTCGCATACAGAGACGTATGGGAGAACCCAAAAATAGCGTGCGTCAAGTACGAGGCGCGTTCCGAGGCGAGCGGCAAGCCGTACAAAGCGAGCTTGAGACATCTCGAGCCTGAGTTGCGATCGCACTCTGTGTTACATTGATGATATCATCATCGCGACGGACGCGGTGCCGGAGATGATGCAGCGGTTGGAGAAGGTCTTGCCACTGTGCGGAGAGAGAGGGCTGGATTCGTTTACGCCGTTGCCTTGCGGTCGGCAGGGTGAGGTTACCTACAACTTGCTTTGCCAGGAAAAACTGACTCTTGAACTCACTACCGCCGTCTACAAGGACTGCGATGGGCACACCGAAGTACTGCTGCCAATGGGTGACTGCAAAGTCCCTCACGGTCCGTGCGCTTTTGTCGCCTATCACTTGGGCTTCTAAGTACCTCGTGGAATGGTCGATGACGGCTACGGTAGTTAACTCCTCCTACTGCCCGCGGGCCGATTAGGTCGAACGAGATGAGCTCGTTGAAGAATGGCCGCGAGAGTGAGCCGACGTCTTTCGCAACAGTTGGCCTCAGATTCAGGCGTGCACAGACCAAGGATTCTCTTGTCCACTGTTCGATGTCGCGATAAAGGTTTGGCCAGAAATATTGGGCTTGCAATTGCCGTCGCATGCGGTGGACTCCTGGGTGTGCGCCCAGTGCAGCCGGTCGAAGAGCGTCGTCCTCTGTATGAAGGCCGCTAAAACGGGTCAATAAAACGATTGTGATCATTTGCGAGGTTATCGTGTGCAACCGTTCTTGAAGCTAATGTTGTACCGCTACTGCGCCAGATTACCTCGGGAGATACGAACATTGCTTTGTCAGGAGAGAATGAGGATACGACGAGGAATTCATCCAAGGATTGGACCCCAATTACAAGAGACATTCGCTTGCCAAAAATTACCGCCGAAGGTCCAACGCTGCCTTGCAATTAGCACATCGGAATTAGTTTTACCAGTGGCTGAAGTGGAACCAGTGCGGCTCAAGCTCCGTGACCCCGAATTACGACTAAATCCAGTCGTAAACAAAACAGTACGTATATCCGTTAGGAGTGAGAGACGAAGCTGAAAGGGGGATTATCGTGCCATCAATGTCACCGTGGGCGTTCAGGCCACGCATTGTTACTGCGCCGGGTAAACCGATGCGGCAACTACGTCCCTCTTAATGCACACCTGGTTGGCAACAGTTACCCATGGCCCAACATACAGGATATGTTAAGGACGATACTTCGCCGAAATTGATTTGACTAAATCCTTCTTCTGAAAGTCGACCACTCACGGCATTTTACGGTGTTAGAGCATTGTATGAATACACCAGATTGCCATTTGGTTTGAAGGTCGCCCTTGCCATATTTCAGAGCACCATTGATTAAGTCATTAGGGAATTCACAACGTGGGCAATTCCTTATGTAGATGACGTTGCCGTCATTGGAGCCACTTATGAGGAGTGCAAGGAGAGGATTACCAAACTCTGCGAGAAATTACAAGCGAAAAAATTCACTATCAACTACGACAAATCAGTCGTGGAACCACAAACACAACTGGAATTTCTGGGGCATTTAATTTGCAGCGGACATGTGACAATACACCCGGACCACGCGGAAACTATTTGCAAATCGCCAACATCAGAGACGAGTGCTGAGCTCCATAGCTTCCTCGGTTTCGGAAATTGTTTCCACCGATTTATACCACGGTACGCAGAACTGGTGGCACCTCTTTATAAGGTGCTCAAAAGAGAACCATATCATCTCGCCACTGCGGAAAAGGAGTCCTGCATCAGGGTACAACATGCTATCGCCATGTTACCATCATTACATACTCTCGATAGCCACTCACCATTAGTTCTCGATACGGATGCGTGCCAGAGAGGGATTGGCGCATATCTATATCTTCAACTGGAGAATGAGTTGTTACCTTTAGCGCACGCACCGCATGCTTTTACTAAACAGGAGGGCGGTGTGCGGATGTGACAATCCCTCCACTACATCAGAGACGCACGCACCGCATGCTTTTACTAACAGGAGGGCGGTGTGCGGATGTGACAATCCCTCCACTACATCAGAGATAACATCAGAGGGCCCAGAAGGCTCGGTAAATTCTATATTCCCTCCCTCATAAAGTTTAATGGTTAATGATTTTCCACAAGAGCGAAAAGGTTGTGGCTCCGTTATTTGTTGGCGAATTTCTGGTACAACTATCGAGTGGGGAATCACTGGGGACAAACTTGCTGGCAATGCTCAACTTGGTGGCCCGGAGGTGATCTTTTTCCAGGCGTCTAGAATCTTCTGCTTGGAGCTCTCACTTAAAAAATAGCAATAGATGCTGTAGTATTTTACGTCATAACCTTCTGTACGAACTGCAGCGCTATAGTACGGCGGCAAGTACTTGTCTGTCCAGAACCCAGTGACTCCCCCAAACCGCACGCGCTCGACCTCGTACGACGGAGTTCGGACCGAACTATCATAAAGTGTCTCGGCCGATCCATTGCAGCCGTCAAACCAGTCTCCCAACCTGGGCGGGTTTACCTCCTCAAATGGGCTCCCGTCATGATGCTTCCAGAAATCCAGGGATAGTTTAACTTCCCGTCCGAGTGTATACAGGTCCTGTTCGCTGACGCCGTCCAAGTCAACGCCGGGAATCGAACCCGCAATCTCCAGCGCTCGGCGAACAGTCAGTAGTTTGTCGTACTCGTCTTGGTCGTTGCACCGGTACGAGCACCTATTAGGCTTCACGTGGCGAACGATACCCTCCCACACAGTAGGAAGATCGAATTTCCACGGAGTGCCAAAGTAATGACACCCAAGGTTCCCGTCGTCCGTGTTCTCACCCAGGCACACTATCCTGCCGCCATATTCAGTACAGTCGCCCCAGTCCAAATCCAGCCAGATAAATGACTCCCAGCCTCGGCTCGTCGCCTCTACCACGTCGTGTGAATCGGGCAGTCCCACGTCGCTGTATGTCCGCCTGCACACGTCCATCGGTGTCTTCATCAGAGCCAGCTCCGTCTCAGAAATTTTGCCGATCTCGCTGAGGTCCGTGACAACATCGGGCGACAGGGATGAGCTGTACCAGACGCGACGGTAGGGAGTAGGCTCGACCGTCGTAAGGTCTGACGGAGTAGGCTTGACCGTCGTAAGGTCTGACAGGGAATAGCTGTGTGCGGCTGGGGTAGAGTGATAGGTGGTGACCTC